CTTCTTCTTCTTCTTCTTCTTCTATTTCTTCTTCTCCTCTCCTCTCCTCCTCCTACTCCTCCGAAGTTCTTCTTCTTCTTCTTCTTCTTCTTCTTCTTCTTTATCAGAGTAGAGATAGAGGTAACTGCAGACATTGTTTGGACACGGCCTTCTGCCTTATTGGACACGACATTCAGATCGGACTTACACTCTACATTGGGATTGAACTGTGTGCGACATTCGGAGATCAGACTTGGGTTGGACTTGGCTACCTCTATGTCCCTCCCCCTTCTCTCTCGCATGTGTATGGATCTCTCCCCATGTGTGTGAGCGGAAGGGCAATCTTTCTGGTGTCTTGCACTTCCGAAGTTTCTCCCTTTCATGTTGTTGTCCACGTGTCCTTTGATACTAGATCTTCTGCTGCGCTGCTTCCCAGCCTATGATGATGATGATACGAATGTGTTGTTCCGTTGTTTCACTCTTTGCGTCGCGCACATTGACACCTTGTGAATGTTGCACCTATGCTGCTGGTTGTTGCCACTTTCGACATTGCTAGATCCTGGGCTTTCAGTGCATTTCACTTTCTGATATGCTACAGACACGCTGGTCACCAGCAAGAGTGGAATGAGACACATCTTTGTCATTGTGGATAGGTTTAGTAAGTATGCTAGATTGATAGCAATGCCCGAAACAGCAAAGACTGAGTACGTTATCAGGCTGTTCAAGGAGAACTGGGTCAGRGACTTTGGACTACCAAAGTCTATTATGAGCGATGGGGATGTCCGGTTCACCAGTGAATTGTGGAAGGCTGCAGCCGCAGAACAGGGTACGCAGCTACAGATGACCTCCGGTAATCACCCAGAGGCAAACGGCCAAGCAGAGCAGCTGAACCTCCGCTGTACAACACCTGTTGCGGCACTACATCAAACCCAATCAGGTGGACTGGGATGAGAAACTTGCTCTCATCGCCAGCCTGTACAACAACGCTGTGCACATGCTACTGACTTTCAAGCCTAGACTACTTCCTAATACCTGAGAACCAACCAACTGCTGCACCTGAACCAACTGCTGCACCTGGCACACTAGAGTTTGCCTATCGATATGAACAACTGATGCAGCAGGCAGTAGAACAGATGCACAGGGCACAGGCGGCGATGATAGAGTCTGAGAATAAGCACCGCCGCCCATCTACATTCCAGGTAGGGGACAGAGTCTGGGTTAAGTCCTCAGAACTGGGTCAGGAGCACGGGATCTCCCGCAAGCTCATGCCACAGTACTTTGGACCCTGGGAGGTTCTAGATATCGTTGGGGATGATCCGGATGGGCCTTCATATGTAGTTCAGATCCCTGGTCACCTTCGCACTTACCCAGTCTTCCACGCTTCAAGCTCGCACCTTTCAAGGAAACTGACCAGTTTCCTTCTCGTCGCTCAATGCTGCCCCCAACCATGGATGGAGAGGTCGACATCGATGACATCGTGGATCACAGAGAAATGCCAGTTCCAAGACCTACAGGCAGGGGACGTCCTCCGAAACCGAAGCTGCAGCATCGCGTTCGGTTCAGACATCACACTGATCCTAAGGAGGATAGATGGTTTACACGGGAGGAACTGATGCAGACCGCTGCACAGGTGGTCGCCCACTAAGAGAAGGTACTGCAGAAAGGAAAGCGCCGGATTGAATGAACTTCTCAGAGGACTAGCGAAGTATGGAGGAGGGAATGCGAGGCACAAGGCCTCGATGAGCCCTACTGGGCCTCTTCTCAGTATAGTCGGCCGCCCTAAGTGAAGGCAGGCCCGACCAAGGCCTATTTTGGGGTATCCACGCGCCTGGGGAAATTCAGGCAGTTGCGCAGTGCCAGTTGGTTGAAAGCGCCCAGGCCCTGGCTACTTTTATCAAATGCATCTGAGTCAGTCCCTGGGCGAGATACGCAACGAGGACCCAACACATTCTGCGGGCAGTTGGGCACGGGTAACTGTCACAGGCCCTGGACCTGATTCGTTCAGACTGGGGCTCAGCCTCCCGGGGCCTACCGGAAGCTTCTGGGCGGGGGCCCGCTGCAGCCAGGTTGCACGCAGCAGGCAGGCCACTTCCATTTAGGAAAGTGCCTGCCCCCGCATTCGGCATTCGGGCACTGGCTGCATGCTGCGCAAGCACTGCTGCGCTATACGCTGGCCAGTGCTCACTCGCTCATGGGTGAGCTGGAAGGAGCAGGCAGCCATAGCCGAGCTGCACTGCTGAATGCTGGATGGGGCGCATGGTGGTCCTTGGGTGCATGTGGCATCTGTGAGTTGGGGATCGAAGTTACGAGTGAGGCGAGAGGCATACCTGGTGCTTGAGGCGAACGACATTGGCCGAGATCTGCTCGTACTTCGGGGAGCTGTTGACATCATCAGCAGCATTGTAGATAGGCTAGATAGGATCTGCCATTTGTGGTCTGGGCGCCTCCGAGCGCCAGATAGGATGTCGACATTGGTTCTTTGTTGATGATGATGAGACTATTCGAACATTGTCACTTATGAGCTTTTGCTGTGCTCTGATTTGGTGGGACTCATGATCCAATTCTGCTTTTGGTTTGAAGTCACGACTATCTGGTCTCATGCGTATGATGCTGCTTGGTTTTTGAAGTTCGCTATCGCTCATTTTCCTTGCACCTACGAGTTTCTTCCGAAAAAGACGACGCAGGCGCGCTGTCGATTAAACCGGATTGTGACGGACGCCCGTGGCCGAGAGCTGGATGTACTTGTGTGCTTGCTTTAAGGGTCAATCAAACCTAGGCCCCCTTGCCTCTCGAACCTAGGCCCCCTTGCCTCTCGAGTTGGAGACTATCAAGCCTTAGGAAAGTTAGCCGGCGGCCCAAGTTGGGAACAGAAGTCCAAGATTCCGAAAAAAGTCAGCGATTCAAAAAAAGGTCGATGATTTTGCAAGAGTCAACCACAGCCACAAATCACAGATCTCACGTGTCAAAAAATGGCTGAGTGCGTCCTTTAGGGAGATGGGCCAAAATTGGAACGATACAGAGAAGGCTAATTAGCAAAATGCCCCCTGCACTTTCAAGGATGACGCGCATATCGAGAAATGGTCCAATAGTTTTGTGATAGTTAAAAAAGAAAAAAATTTAAAAAAAGAAAAAAAAAAGAGGTTCAATGATTCAATTCCGATTCAAGACATTTCCAAGGCCATCTGGGTGGAGGCAAACTTCAGGTAATTATCGCAGTATCCAGACTGGAAGTTGCCGACAAGCACTCATGCCGACAAACACTTAGACAGCCACGCAGGTCACCAAGCACGCGCGCACACACGCACACACACACACACACACTTAGAAAACTCAGCAGAATGCGGGAATCTCAGCAAGGCATCCATTCCAGCTTCAGAACTCAGAAATCAGCAGTGTTGTCAGTCGGTGTTATGGCGGATCATTACAGAGAAGCATACCAGATACTTACCTGCTCGTGCCAGTGTGATTGAGGCTGGGGAGAGCACATTGCTTTTGTGTGATGGCCTACGAAGGCGATGAATTTTGCAGAAAAAAGCATTTTTGCTGTAGGGTTTTAGGATCCTTTCGCTTTTTTTAATGCTTTTTCACTGTTGGTTTGTTTGGTGTCCACTAACTCTGTGGATTAACCGGTTTAGTTGTAAAGACTATGAGAAAATGCTGAACATTTGTTTAGGGGTCTGTTAACACCTTTTCCCATAACATGTATAATGATGATGATGATGATGATGATGATGGATTCTAACTTTTTCTAAGTTTCAAACGCTCATCCCTGGGCTATTGATTGATTGATTGATCGGTGAATTAGATTGGATTGGATTGGATTGATTGATTGATTGATTGATTGATTGGATGCTTGAATCATCTATTGCTGTGCCGTGGTTGCAGGGGAGGTGGTGAGGATTGTAGTCCACGTGGGTCCGCGAGAAGTGTATATGTCGGAGGAGGAGGGTATGGTGGGGAGAGGGGTGGGAGCAGACCTGAGTGCCACGGAGGTTGCAGCAACGGGATCTGGATCTGGATTGCTAGATGTGTTGCCGCAAACACCGATGAAGCAGGGAAGGCAGAAGCAGCAGCAGCAGGACACAGGTCAGAAGTCTGGCAAGACAGAGGCCAGAGCCAGCACGGCGGCAGAGGTCGGCAGCTCTTCTTCGGCGAGCGAAGTTGGCAGCGTCGGCGACAAGGACGTGCAGAGTCCGGACCCTCGCATCACACTTGCTAGTAGGTTGAGACAGACTCTGGGCGGGGGCGATATGCTGGATAGGGTTGTCAATTCCTTGCTTTCGGCGAACCAAGACGACCTCCCCGTTCTTCTCGGTCAGATGACAATGAGGATGGAGGGCGAGAAAAGGCGGAGCAAGGTGTTGCTGGAAAGCTTCGGCCGATCACATTTTTATGTCAAGTTCTCAGGCCAGGACGCCAACAGCACTCTGACCGGTTTTCGATCTGCGGGAGGGAGGATGAGTATGAATACGACTCAAAACAGAGGACTTGTGCATCATCGGAGGTGTGTATACCTATCTACCTAGCAGTCCCCCTACCTTGGTAGGGGTCTTGAGTCCCAAAGGTAAGGCGGCTACCCCCCATCCTCCCATCTCATCTATAACTCAACTCTGGTCATGCTTGCCGGTGATAAGCCAACCGGACTGCTTACCCCCCCGGCGAATAGATGGGGCTCTGTATTTGTTGAAAAAAAGAAGAAAAAAAAGAGAAATAACACCTGGCTATAGGCTATAGGACCATCTATCAGCATAGGCCCTCAGGGCCTGTCTGTCCTAGGGGTAGCCCGGGCCTGCTACTCGCAGTTAGGGTAGCTGTAGGTACTGTTAGTTAGTATGGGACTATATTTTCCTGAATTTTGCAGATATGTCCCTCTCGGGTTTTCCCGACAGGTAGGTCTCTCGGTTGGCCCTCAGCCAAGCAAAATTACAAATCTATCCTACCTATAGTACAGCCTCGACGAGAGAGGCTACAGACCGTCAGAACCAGCAAGTCATTGCATGTGAATGGTTGAAAAAAAAAACCCGACCGCTCTCAAAAACAAAACCTCGTAGATAAGGTCAGGAATGTCCAGGATCTCCACGCGCCATTGCTAATATGGAATCTCCATGTGCCATGGCTGTAGTACGTATGGTTTGAAACGAACGTATGGTTTGAAACGAAAAGACAATTCCACAAATCCTCCTTGTGGCATTTGCACGTTAGTAACTTTCTGCACTGAATCTGGTCATAAGCATAGGTCAAAATACATTTACAGGATCTTGATGTGCCATAGCTGGGACGTATGTGTTTGGAAAAGAAGAGTCGACTCTCAAAATTCTCCTTGCGGCATTCTCACACTAGCAAGTTTCTGGACTGAATTGTGTCATACTTCCAGGTTAGGTACATCCGGGATCTCGATATGCCATGGCTTGTGTGTATGGTTGAAACAGGAGAACTCCCCGAATCCTTGCGGCATTCTCGCGCTAGGCATTATCTGGACCGAGTCTGGTCGTCATTGAGGTCAGATACATTCGAGATCCATGCATCATCGCAGTTGAGCATGGTTGTGAAGATGAACACCCCAAATCCCTTGTTGCATACTCGCACTACCTTCTTCCCCCGAATACAACGTACGGTCATTAGAGTTGTATTTGGGGCATCTTGCAGTCTAGATACAGCTATAATGTTGCATACCGTAACGGTGCAGACCAGAACAAGAACTGACCTCTCTCACAAAGTACAAGATAGCGTAGCGGAAGACTTAGATACCAATGATCCGAACAATCAATATTGCMATGCAGCCCCGAACATAAATCATCATCATCACTCCATGGTGTGAAGGGGCCTGGCGCTCACACAGGAAGAAGGTGCCAGTCCCCAACCATACACAGACGAAGAAGAGGGGGGTTAGACGAAGAAGAGGGGAAGATGGGAATGTCGTCAACACCAAGTCTTCGGAACAAGCCCAAATAGTCCCTCGTCAAAATGTCTGAATCCCAATGTCGAGTCTGGATCCAATGTCGTCAAGTCTCAAGTCATAACTCTCTCTCTCTGTCGTAGTCCGCTGATACTGAGGAGTCAGGTAGTGAGAGGGTGAAGAAGAGATGATGGACTTAGAAGAGGAAGAAGAAGAACTCTCTCCCTCTCTCTCTCTCTCTCTCTCTCTCTCTCTCTCTCTCTCTCTCTCTCTCTCTCTCTCTNTCTCTCTCTCTCTCTCTCTCTCTCTCTCTCTCTCTCTCTCTCTCTCTCTCTCTCTCTCTCTCTCTGTGTCCGGTACTAACCTGTGAAGTTGGCGCGTAGATGCAGGTACCTTGAAGATGAAGCTGGAGCCATGGCGCCACAGGTAAGTCTCCCTGGCCGCCGTTAGCCATCTCTCTCTCTCACCTCCTCTACCTCTACTAGCACCCAGCGCTGAAGACTACTACTGCTACTAGCGCCCAGCGCTGAAGACTACTGCAAGCGCTAAGCTACTCCTGCAGCGCTCCTCCAGTGTGGCATACTGCATAGCCACACGGGCCCTGCAGGGCCCGTCCCGGACATTCAGCCTAAAAGCCTAAAACTTAGGGCTTACAGGCCCCGTTCRTTTCAGCCTGGATGCTGAAAAACGAGGGCCTGCAGGCCCTACCTCGTTTCAGCCTATTTCTGGGTCTTTTCAGACCCAGAGTTTTCAGCCTGAAACGGAGGGCCATTTTCAGGCCCTCATTGTTTCGACCTGCCCCTAAGACTCAGGCACGGAAACAGGGATGCGGAACAGGCCCAAAATAGCCTGTTCCTCACGTGCTCGAGCAGGAGCTGCAGCTGCAGCCCCTGCCTTCCTTCGGCAGGCTGAAGAGGCACACCCGTAGTACATAGGAGGTTCCCATGCACTTCACGGGTAGGTAGTGTTCAGTAGGCACGAGTGGTCTTCAGGATTCGGCCGCAGCACTCAGGAGGAGCGCTGCAGTAGTCTTCAGTGCTAGGCAGTAGTGGTAGCGCTAGCTGTAGTCTTTGGCGCTGGGCGCCATAGCTGTAGCTGTAGTCTTCAGCGCTGTAGATCGTAGAGTGGGAGGGAGACTGGCGGAGGCCAGTGTTACTTACCTGTGGCGCCATCRCTCCAGCTCCATCTTCGTGGTACCTGCATCAAGGCGCCAACTTCACAGGTCAGTACTGGACACAGAGAGAGAGAGAGTTCTTCTTCTTCGTCTTCTAAGTCCACCTCTTCTCACCCTCTCGCCACCTAACTTCTCAGACTACGACAGAGAGAGACAGAGTTGTGACTTGAGACTTGACGAAATTGGATCCAGACTTGACATTAGGGATTCAGACAGTTCGACGAGGGACTATTTGGGCTTGTGCCGAAGACTCGGTGTTGAGGACATTCCCATCTTCCCCCTCCTCTTCGTCTATCCCCTTCCTCCTCGTCTGTGCATGTTCTGGGCTGGCGCTGTCTTCCTGTGTGAAGCGCCAGACCCATTCTCACTATGAAACGATGACGATGATGTATGTTCAGGGCTGCATTACAACATTGATTGTTCGGATCACTGGTATATAAGTCTTCCGCTGTGTTATCTTGTACTTTGTATTGAAAGGTCGGTTCTTGTTCTGGTCTGCACGTTACAGTATGCAACATCCAGAGTGCTGCTGCCGAATCCTGAAGACTACTACTGCCTCGGCCTCTGCCTTCCCATGGAGTGCATGGGAACTCCCTATGTACTACCTCGGCCTGCCTCCTGACTGCCTGCAGCTGCAGGGCGGGGCAGTCCAGGAGGCTGCTCTTGCCAATGCCGAAGTGAGCCAGGGCCTGCCGCTGCAGCTCCTGCTGAGGCTGTCGTGGGAACAGGCCAAAAATAGCCTGTTCCCGAAACCCTGGGTTGGTGTGTGAGTGGTAGGGCAGGACGATCTTATGAGGGCCCGAAAGTGGCCCTCCGTTTCAGGCTGAAAAGACTCAGGGCCTGGAAGGCCCTGTTTTAGGCTGAAACGACATAGGGCCTGCATGCCCTCGATTTTCAGTCTTTCAGGCTGAATTGACACGGGGCCTGTAAGCCCTTGTTTTTAGGCTTTTAGGCTGAGACCGCGGGACAGGCCCTGCAGGCCCGTGTGGCTGCGCAGTTTGCCACCCCGCCCCCCTCCTTGAAAGACCGAGCTTACCTGTGAGGGCGAAGCTGTCTGTCTGAGGGAGGGACCACAGTCCGAGTGGGAGGGGCAGGTCGTGAAGTTCCCTGAGCTAACCTTTGTTGCTCGTAGTGAGCGTAGATCAGCGATGTGGATGCTTTCAGATCTGTTCCTGAAATCCACCGAGTGTCGTCGGGATCGCATGCTTTGAATGTAACTTTATACTGTCGAGGCTTGCTGCCGTACTTGCGATCCGTGATGACGCGGCCAACTTCCTGATGACCATCCATAGATGGAGTGTCCTGCTATCGTCGACCCGGGAAGTTGTCGCTCTTATCTGGTGTATATGTCGCCAGCTTCGAGGCGTGAAAGACTGGATGGACCGTCAGATGCGGGGGAATGTTGATCACAAATGAGGGGCCATCGGGCTCATCGCCCGCGGCTGATGTTACGGGCCATGGTCCAAACTACTTGGGAAGCAGTTCGCGTGAAACATCCTGTTCGAGTCTAAACTCTTCCGCAGAGACCCACACCAGATCCCTGGCGCGGATGGGACATGGCACGCGATGCCTGTTGGCTTGCTGCTGCATGCGGAATTGAGCCTTTTGCATGTTCGCGCGGGTTTGAGCCAGCAATTCCCTGTACTTCCGAACGGAAGTGGGGGAGCAAGCACCGTCTATGTTGGCTGTTCGTGGGAGGAGAAGATCAGCGAAGATACGGCCGTCCCGGCCACCGTGGTGCAACTCGAATGGAGTTCCGCCAATCCTCCTGATCCGGATGGATAAGCGTACGGCGCATCGTTTGAGTGGTTTGATGTGCCCGCTCTGTTTGCCCGTCCGTTTGTGGATGCCGAGCCGAACTTGGTTTCATCTTCGTGCCGGAGTCCTGCATGAGAGAAGTCCAAAATGCGGACATGAAGCGAGTGTCGCGGTCGTTGACGATGTCTTCCGACACGCCATGGCTGCAAATCCAGCTGGTGTGTAGGTGGCGCGCAAGTTCGGGAGCCGTGGCGTAGTATTTGCAAGGAAGAAATTGCGCATACTTACTCAAACGGTCAACGACCATGAGGATGCGGTCGTGCCCGAGAGGGTCGCGGGGAAACGGACCGGTGACGTCCATGGCAATGGAGAGGCCGGGTTCCTGTGGGATAGGCATCGGGCGCTACTCGCCGTAGGGATTGCGATCGCGTGGCTTGCTTCGTTGGCAAACTTCGGAAGGGTCGCAATACCGAGTGACATCGGTAATGAGGTCAGGCCATCGGAATCGTTGCCGAAGTCGTGCAATGGTGCGATTGACTCCAAAATGGTCGGCGAGTCGTGAGTCATGGTACTCACCGAGAAGGTGAGTCCGAAGACGACGGTCGTGTGGGACACATAATAAGTCCTTGCCTCTCGTTTGGAGGAGCAAGTACCCGTCGACGATGCGATAGTGGCTGGCCGGCGGGTGATCCGAAGATAGTTGCGCATACAACGTGGCAAAATCCGGATTAGACTCATAGCCCCGGATGAAGTATTGCTGGACTTCCTCCTCAAATGCGAAAGCATGATGTGTCATAGCGCAAAGATCAGGTCTTCGCGGGAGTGCATCTGCTGCGAGATTGGAGAGGTCGGGGAGATGTTTCGGTGTGAAGTCAAATTGGTCGATGAAGTACATCCCTCGTTCCATCGTGCTGCTCACTGTATCCTGCGTCTTGTAGTAGGTCAATGGGTTGTTGTCCGTGACCCATGTGAACCTTCGACGCCCAAGGAGGAAGTGCCGCCATCGCTTGAGAGCCATCACGAACGCGAGCAGCTCCTTCCTTGCATCATCAAGTGAATTAAAGGGAGGCACTTTGTGGCTGAAATACTCCACAGGGTGCGATTCGTCGCCGTCGTGTTGTTCCAAGATTGCCCCAATGCCATAGCCGGAAGCGTTGGTTGTCACTCTCGTTGGCAAGGTGGGGTCGTAGATGCTAAGGACGGGTGCCATGAGCATGGCCGTCTTGAGTGCTTGGAATGACCGACGTGCTTCGTCATTGAATATGAATGGCACCTTTGACGATTGTAATCTCGTCATAGGTGCGACAATCCTTGAGTACCCGGTGATGAAGCGTTGATAGTAGCCCGCCAACCCCATGAATGAACGAACGTCCGTGGTGTTGGTGGGCTCGGGCCATACGCGGATGGCCTCGAACTTGTCCGCAAGCGGACGGATGCCTTGCGGCGTCACATAATGTCCCAAGTACTCCAGCTCTTGCTGCGCGAATTCGCATTTGTCGCGGTTGGCTTTGTACTTGGCTTGTCGTAGCCGCTCCAAAATGGTGCGCAGGTGCTCCACATGCTCGTCCAAACTCTGGCTGTACACCAAGATGTCGTCGAGGTAGATGAGTACGAATCTATCCAGCATGCGTCGGAACTCCGTTGTCATAGCCGCTTGGAATGTGGTCGGGGCATTCGTAAGGCCAAAAGGCATAACCAACCATTCGAAATACCCATATCGCGTCTTAAACGCGGTCTTGTAGCGGTCCTCCTGCCGGATCTCGAGTTGGTGATATCCCGATTTAAGGTCAAGCTTGGAGAAGAACTTGGCGCCGCCCAGTCGTTCGAGGAGGTCGTCGATGCGGAAGAGGGCCGACGTTCTTGATGGTTTGCGCGTTGAGCTTGCGATAATCGATGCACAACCTCAACTCCTTGTTCTTCTTCCGGACGAAGAGAACGGGATCACCGTATGACGAAGAGCTAGTCCGAATCCAGCCTTTCTCGAGAAGATCGTCGAGTTGTGCCCTTAGCACACTTAACTCTTCCTCGCTCATGCGGTAGAGGCAACCACGCGGAGGTACGGCCCCGTCCTCGAGGATGATCTCGTGGCAGATGGGCCGATCTGGTACTACTTCGTGTGGTGTTTCGAACACGTCGCCGTAGGTGTCGAGAAGCTCGGTGATGCGTGGGTCCGGTGGTGAGTCCATCGATGAAATATCTTGGGGCGGGAGGGCGTGGAGAAAACACACCCCCATCTCCTCGATGTCATCCCGGATGATGGAAGCTCGAATGCTTGCGGCGGACACCACGTGGCAGCTGATCGAAGGGTGAGGAGGAGGCACCGTGCATGGGACTAGTACTCCGTTCCGATCACGAACGTGAACGGTGCGGCGGTAGAAGTTCACCGGGTGATCCTCGCTTCGCGGCCATGACATGCCTAAGATCATGTCGAACTTGTTGCCCAAAATATCGAAGGACACAACCTCGCTTGCATGCCGGGCAAAGTACACGGGGACGACATCAATGCACCGGTCGATTGACTTGTGCGTGTAACCGTCGGCCAACGTGACTTGCGTGGGCTGCAACTTCCTCCGAACGCATGTCCCAAGGCCAACGCGTACCATAAAGTCTTGGCTCGTGTAGTTGCGAGTAGCTCCGCAATCGATCAAAGCGCTGCAGGTCGCCTCTCCGATCTGAATGCGTATGTACAACAATGGCGCGTCGATGTCGTCGTACCGTTGTGTCTTGAACTCGCGGTCGATCTTCGCAATGTAGGCGTGAAGGTCGACAACCTCTATTCCGGCGTCCATCAACAAAGTTGGTACTGGAGTGTGCAAGTAATCCCGCAATTGTGCCATGAGCACGTTGCAATGCGGTTTCGGCAATCGACCGGACGGGGGAAGGGGCATCCATTGGAAGTCCTCAAACGTCAACGGGTCGAGCTCTTCAAGTCTTAACATGTCGTCGAATCCCCGGCGACAGATGACGGCGAAGTTGCCGAATCGGTTGCCGATGGTTGTGAAACCGTGCATGCGGTGGATTGTTGCACGTGGAGTGGTTGGTCCAACGGTGGGACCATGTGGACAGCATAATCCTCGTAAGTGAACCGAGGACTTACGACATTCGCATCCTCCCCAGATGTGTAGGAGGCCGCTAGCAAGGCGCCCGAATCTGGCGGAGTGAGAGGTGGAGTCGCCTAACCTCCCGCGCAACTCAGTTTCTCGAGTTGATGCGTGGCCGAACATCCTCCTTGCCTTGATCCAGGCATTGGGAGGTCTTATGCTTGGTGCTGTTGCACCAACAGCAGCAGCCATACCGGCCGCGCCACTTGTATTCGGCCTCGGTCAAGTGAAACTTGACCCAAGGTGCTGGCTGTCCGTTTCTGGCCGGCGATGCGGTTTTCGCCTTCCCTTTTCCTCAGGAGTTGTTGTTGCTTCGCGGCTGGACAGCAGCCACCTGATCTCCCTCATGTGATGCTTGGGTGGGCTGCTGGGTCTTCCACAATGTTCTCCGAGTGGACTGCAGCAACATGCTGCGAACGCGGACCAAATTTTCCTTTCTCCACATAGGTTGGCTGCCATGCCGACTTCTCGTGTGCAGCCGCCCTATTGGTCTTGATGATCTCCCTTGCCTTGTCGATGATTTCAGCGAAGGTCGCGTATTGCTCGCGATCACCAAGTGCAAGGCTCAAGGAGGCACATGACCGGTTGTAGAACTCCCGACGCAAATGCGAAAATGGCAATTCGAGATCGGGCTTCGCCGCGATCTTTTGCCATTCCGTGAGCCAGTCACGTGTCGGTGTGTTGCCTTGCGTCATCGCGAAGAGGCGGTTGATGGCGAGCGTCGGGGCGTCGTTCACGATGAACCGCTTCTTCCATAGCTTCGTCAGATTTGCCCAAGGAATCTTCGTGTGCAGATCGGCGACGTCGACGACGTGGATGGTTGCCAGGTGGCTAAGCCAGATCTGGCATCCGCCCTTTGAGTTGAGGAACAGCGCGCCGATGTACGAGCGCTCTGGGACGAAAAGAATCCGAAGTTCCGTCGTAAAGCCCTCCCACCAGGGGACCGGGTCTTGATGCGTATAATCATCGAACTTTTCGATGTGGAATGTCGGCATCTTGTAGTGCTGTGCGGTGTTGCCATCCTTGTTGGGCAGCGGGTGCAGTTGCTGAACCTCGGTCTTCAAGGTGTCCAGCTGCTTGCTGATGGTGGCTGGTGCTGCGAAGGTGCTGATGTCGCCAAGCATTGCGACGACGTGGTCAACTCGTTCCTCCAATTGGCGGGTAGAGGGTGGACTGCGGGACTCGCCAGCATCTGGTCTTGGTGCAGATTGCTCCAAGTCTTGTACACGGGAATGAAGTGCCCGTGTAGCATCCTCGTGCAGATCCTTGTGGTTCCGCACCGCCCGTCGGAGATTCGCCAGCTCGGACTGCAGGTGGTTACAAGAGTAAACCAACCGGGTCACGAGTTTGGCCAGGAACTCCTTGTGATGCTCTTCTGGTGTCGCGTCATCGTGCTGCTCAGATGGTTCAAAATGCCAAAACTTGAGTTTTTCGATGCTGGTGGCTTCATGCCGCTGTAACAGATCCTGGGCCTCCTTGCGGCGTGCCTGGGTATCTGCTTCGGCTTCGGCTTGAAGCCGCTGCTTTTCAACTGTTGCCGCCGCTTCAGCTTGTAGGCGGGCAGCCTCGGTTGCCGCCTGATGCTGTTCCTCAGCCTCCATCAGTGCGAGCTGAGCTTCGAAACGCTGTCGGTACTCAGCAATGGACTCGTTGGCCAGTTGGCCTGGCATGCCCAGAACTGAGCCTGTCATGGTGGCGGGGCACTGCTGACATGGCACTGTTGACGTGGTACTGCTGACATGGCACTGTTGCTGATGTGGCACTGCTGACATGGCACTGTTGCTGACGTGGCACTGTACGAACTCGGGAATGCATGCAAAGGGGTGGGTGGGAGGGAAAACGCAGGTAGGTAACCAACCCAGCTATACTTTCCTCCCGGTCCTAATCAACAGACTAAAATAAATAAAAAATAAAAGAAGAGGATCACCCATGGCTACGATCCGGACGTCCGGACCGCCGTCCAGACGGTCCGGATTTGGTCCGGAATCCGGACGTCCGGTCCAGACGGTCCAGATCTGCCAAATTTCGAGGAAAAAAAAAAAAAAAAAAACGGTCCAGGACCCTTCCCCATTGAGGAGCCAAGCCGCCAAAATTGTTTTGAGGGTTTTTCAGGCCCGTTTATGCTTTTTTGGGGGGTTCGGACATGCTCTCTCTCTATAATAATTTATTAGACAACCCCAAGTTTTTTATTATGAATAATTCATTACCTTTTATTAGTTTTTTTAACTTTTTTAAGTCTTTTTTAAAGCTTTTTATAGTTTTTGACTTTTAACTCAAGTTTGGTTAGGAATTCTGACATGACTCTGAGGCAAAAGTGGTTTGCATTGTTATTCTGCATAACATACTTTTTTTCAGATTTTTTTTTTTTTTTTTTAAATGGTCCGGACATTTTCCGGACCTGTCCAGACATCCGGACCGTCCAGATCCCCCAATGTCCGGAGGTCCCGAAATGTCCGGAATTCCGGACGTCCGGAAATTACCGGACACGGGTCCGGTTCCATGTCCGGAAATGTCCGGGTCCGGGTCCGGCGTAGCCATGGGATCACCCCGCCTTTTTTCTTTTTGTATATCTGTCGATCTGCTATGAGTGAGGTATGTCAGAAGAGTACTATGAGTGAGATCTAGGCCAGGTTCCGCAAAGTTTCGGCTTTCACAAAAATGCGGTCTTGAAAAAAAAAATTTGCGAAATAGAGTAGAGATGCGATTTTCAGAAAAGAACTAAATCCAATTTCTGAGAATATGGCAACCTCCTAATATGCCTAAAACGAAATGCTGGTAGGCTTCGCAAGATTTTGGTTTTCAAAAAAGATTTGTGAGATAGAATGGAGATTCGATTTTCAGAAACGAATAAATCCGGTTTCCGAGAATATGACCACCTCTATCGTTATCCTAATATGCCTAGAAAACGAAATGTTAACATCAGAAATGTTCGGCTATGTATGAGAATATCAGATAAACGAAATGCTACTATCACAGTCTATCAGGAATTTTCAGATAAAACGAAATGCGATTATCAGAAATTTTCAGATATTTGTTGCGTGAAAACGAAATACGAATATCAGAAATTTTCAGGTAAAACGAAATGCGATTATCAGAAATTTCAGATATTTGTTGCGTGAAAAAAATTTCAGAGATTTGACGAAGTCCTACTTGATTTACTAATGAGTAATCAATAGATCAAGCAAGCTGGCTACTTGATTGAGCGGGTCCTCTGAATGAGAGGTCCGCTCCGGTACCAAACTGTTGCATACCGTAACGGTGCAGACCTGAACAAGAACCGACCTCTCTCACAAAGTACAAGATAGCGTAGCGGAAGACTTAGATACCAATGATCCGAACAATCAATATTGCAATGCAGCCCCGAACATATATCATCATCATCACTCCATGGTGTGAAGGGGCCTGGCGCTCACACAGGAAGAATGCGCCAGTCCCCAACCATACGCAGACGAAGAAGAGGGGGGTTAGACGAAGAAGAGGGGAAGATGGGAATGTCGTCAACACCAAGTCTTCGGCACAAGCCCAAATAGTCCCTCGTCAAAATGTCTGAATCCCAATGTCGAATCTGGATCCAATGTCGTCAAGTCTCAAGTCACAACTCTCTCGCTCTGTTGTAGTCCACTGATACTGAGAAGTCAGGTAGTGAGAGGGTGAAGAAGAGATGGTGGACTTAGAAGAGGAGGAAGAAGGACTCTCTCTCTCTCT